CAGCACCAGCACTGGGTTCTTCCCAGCACAACACGTGCCGAGGGCTGGGAAGAACCTGGCACAGCCCTCCCAGGGGGCACGGGCCCCCAGATCTGCACATGGCATGACAGCAGACAGTTATAGGCATTTTCATGATTCCCCATTATATCCTATGGGCAAAATGTAGAAACGTGTCGAAACAGTGAAACGGTTTTGACAAAATAAAATGGAACAGTGCTTCGAAACAGCAAAACAAAACCACTGCCCATTTGAAATGGTGAAACGGAAGTCAAAATGAAACAGTGCTGTTTTGCCCTATCATGTTGGCAGTAGGTGGCCAGTGCTGTCCCACAGGGTTCGATTCCCTGCTCTGTGCATCTTTATCGATGATTTAAATAAGGATGTAGAAAGCACGCTGGCCAAGCTTGTGGATGATACTAAGTTATGGAGAAAAGTGGTCATGCTAGGGGATGCGGATCCAAGAGGACCTGGATAAGCTGGAAAGGTGGGCAAAACGGAACCAATAAGGATAAATGCAGAGTGCTTTCTCTGAGGATAAGTAACCAGAGACATGAATATAGGTTTGAAAGAGATATCCTGGCCATGATAGCTAAAAGGAACCTCAGGGGCTATGGTTGATCACAGGATGAACATGAGTCACAAATGCGATGCTGCAGTCAACAGAGGTAATAGCATTCTGGGATGCATTAGCCCATGTGTCACGGGCAGGGCTAAGGGAGTGATACTTCCTCTTTACTTGGCGCTAGTGAGACCCCAGCTGCAGTACTGTGTCCAGCTCTGGGCACCGCACTTCAAAAAAAGATGTGGAGAATCTTGAAAGGGTCCAGAGAAAGGCCACAAGAATAGTTAGGGGCCTAGAGGACAAGCCTTATGAGGAAAGACTATGGGATCTGGGACTGGTCAGCCTGGGGAAGAGAAGACTGAGGGGGGACTTGGTGGCTATCTATACATATGTAAGGGGTGAATATTGGGAGCAGGGAGACAAACCGTTCACTAGGGCACCCCAGAAGAGGAAAAGGAGCAATGGCCATAAACTGTTAGAGGATGGTTTCAGGTTGGATGTAAGGAAGAACTTCATTATGGCAAAGGTGACCAGAATGTGGAATAGACTTCCCAAGAAGGTGGTGCAGTCCTCAACTTTGCAAGTCTTCAAGAGGAGATTGGACAAACACCTTGCTGGGATCACTTGATCTCAGCAGTATTCCTGCCCAGAGCAGGAGGGTTGGACTCAGTGATCTTTCGGGTCCCTTCCAGCCCTTAATTTCTATGATATGATTCACTCCCCACAGATGAGCCACCCAAGTTACAATCCTCCAGAATCCCTGGATGCACTGCCAACCATTGCCAGTTCTGGCACCAAACCAACTACCCATTCTGCCTCTGGGGGTGTGACCTTCCCACTCCCAGGGGTGCAAACCTGTGCAAACTGCGTGCAGAGTATATGCCAGGTAGCCATGTCACAGGGCACAGAGGGATACAGGAGTGGACTCTAGGGAAGATGGAGGGAGAGCAAGCTCTTCCCAGGGAGAATAAGGTGGATTGGGTGCCCATGAGCTGGGGCTTCCTTCCCAGCTCAAGGCCAGTAGCTTTCCCCAAAGGTGCCTTCCATCACTGCTCCCAGCTCCCACCTACCTTGGGAAGCATGACCAGCACCCCCACACCTCAAAATCCCAGTTTATTAAAATATGAAACCTTCTTTAATTCCTTCCTCTTAAATTCTTTTTATTGCTTTTTATTTTATCCTTCAGTGTCTGACGTCCTTCGTTTCACTATCCTTCCCCCACTCCCCATTTCCTTTCCACCTCATATTTCATTACCCACTCCCATCCCACTAACTCTTCACCTTCCAGCTTCATGTTCTTTACCCCCCTTCCCCAAGTTCTTGCACACCTCCACCTCAAGCAGGGATAGAAGTCTGTCCTGGCTCACCAGCCATGTAACGGGAACTTGCACCTAGTCAGACCCCTGCTTGCCAGCCCTCTAGTGGCAAGTCTTAGCTGTGCAGGTGGGGGAACAGTCAGAGAAGGTTTTTAGCCTTAAGGTACAACTTCTCCAAACTTGAGCTAGCACTAATACCGATTGTATTTAAACAGCTCAAAGTACAATATATAGCAAGGCCCTTACCTGACTAGGATACCCGTGGCAAGGGCAAAGCCAATGCAGAATGGAGCCAGTGGAGTCTTGCTGTGCTCAGCCAGGCTTCCCATCAGGACAGCAAGGAGGAGGAGAAACGAGAATGTCAGCTCTGCACAGACAGCCATCCCCACTGTGCTGCCTTCTTGCACCATGCAGCCCCCTCCAGTCCGGTTGAAGAAAATTGCTTCTGGCACCATGCTCTGCTCTCCACGCCACATCCCGGAAAGGAAAGAAGGAAATACAAATAACAACAAAGGATACAACCAGACAAGGTTCTTTGGGTAAATCTAATATCTTTTATTAGACCAACTTAAATAGTTGGAAAAATTCTTCTTTGCAAGCTTTCAGGTACATATACCCTTTATCAGGCTGACAAAGGCTTTATCTGAAGATGCTTTCTCAGCCTGACAAAGGGTATATGTACCCAAAAGCTTGCAAAAAAGACTTTCCCAACTATTTGAGTTGGTCTACAAAACTATATTGGATTTACCCAAAGAACCTTGTCTGCCTCTGTCCTTAGGCCAACACAGCTATGACCTACACCCTTGAAACAAAGGATACAAGGCACACTCTCCCAGGTGCTGTTCTGTTTGAATGGCTACCATAGCCCTTTGCTTTTCAGGTTGGTAGGAGGGGGTGAAATCTAAACTTTAATAGTTAGGGCACTGGAAAGAACCAAGTACCCCCATACAGGCTGACTGGAGGGGTGTGCACTCCCCAAAACAGGGCTGGCTGCTATTGTGTATGAATGAGAGCACACAGGAAAGGCAAGGACTGCATGCTGGTGACAGTGTTGTGCCCTGCTATGAACAGCTGATAGTTAATGCCGTGTTAATACCAAGTGCATCTGCATGTGGAGGGGAGCAGAACAAGGAGGCCTGTGAGCTGGGAAGCTGTCTCCCTGTGATATGTTCTTGACCCTGTTCTGCTTCTTTTCAGGGCCATGTTGAACACTGAAAATAAAGCGGCAGTGAATTATTGGGTTCATTCACCAGCAGTTTTGAGGCTCTTGGGTTACTCTGCCCTCTGGTGTCCACATTGTGAACATGCTTTTGACCAAGTGCCTCAGTGGACCAAAAGAAATGCAAACATTTTGAACTTTTGGTTCAGAGATTATACCTTTTATTAGACCAACTAAGAAATCACAAAAAAGTGTCTTTTTCTGCAAGATTTTGGGCTCTCATGCCCTTCATCAGACTCAGAGAAGATTAAAGACGGTAAAAAATCCCCATAGGTAGGAAAGAAACTTCATTTTTGCACAGAGGAAGCTGAAGATGGAGCTCTGTCCTTAAGGTTTTACTCTTGTTGTCTGTATCATTTAACAAAACAGAGAGCAAGATCCTCCGTTACCAGGGCAAATGGCAGAGTCATTCTCAAGGCATCTGTAGCAAACCCAAGCTCTGAACCACTCCTAAGTCTCAAGTACTTACCAGAGTGCCTCCAGGCCACCTGACTTCTAGTGTGATGTTCTTCCCTAGGTAATATTGTGCTCTGTGTGCACATTGTGGCACCTTGGATACTGACCTTTGCCAAGGCAGGTAACATTGGGCACCACAGTGGAACTTGCATGGGGTGACACTGGCAGGTGCTTTTGAATAACCTTCCCTTCATAGCCCTTCTCTAAAGTCAGGAGCCAGCCCTCGACACCTCCATACCCTGCCAAATGCTTCCAGGGCCTGAGACCAGGGCTTGATGTGGGCACTGTTTTCAGTACTTTCTGTCCCTGTGTGGATCCCAAGATGGTACAGCATGATCTCAGCATATCGCACATAGGAATACTCCACTGGCATTCAGAGAGGCTCAGCGGATGCACTTCCATTCCATATTGCACCCACTCTATTACGTGTAAGATGGGGGGATCAGTTAAACTTGCTCTGCACAAGGCAGTGGAAGATGTAACGTGGCTTATGCAATGTTTGCTGTGTTGGCCCTCTACACATGGCCTCACTGCCATAATAGGGTTTTTCAATCCCAGTTGCTGACCTACCTATCACATCCAGTCACTCCCATTCCAACCCAGTTTTCAGTTGCTGAGCTCAGGATGAGGATATTCTGAGCCAGCTGTCCTGGATGGGTAGTGATGTGAAATTGGTTATGCACTGGACCAAGCACCTATGAGAAAGCCCACACTCTGAAAACTAGTTTTCCAAAGTGTTGGAAATGGAACAGGGTTGCAGTAGATAGGCATGGCCCGTATGTTTTATACATAGGACAATATGAGGTCATGCTATGGTGAATTCAGGCCTTCTTTACTGGGACTGAGTGAGAAATTTTAAACCCCCAGATTTTGAGGATGACCAATTAAACTATTTTCATAATAGGTGCTGCTAAAGAGTCCAGTCTGAGTCTCTCTTGCCTTGTACTTTGGTCCTGATTCTGGCTGCAGTTGAGAAGGGGTGGGAGAGAGAGGGAGGCAGTGATGGCTGTTGAGCGTTGCAGTGGACCCTGGAAGTGTCCAGGGATCACGGGGTGTTCAAATTGATGTTGCTTTGTAGCAGCAACCATAGAGCTGTCCAGCAGCCTGGAAATTCAGATCAATGTACAGCTCTGCTCTTCCCTAAAAACCTTTCCTGCCCCCAGCCACTCCTCCACCATCTTCCCTATTTCCTAGGTAGTAAGCAGGAGAGAATAAGACCATCCTGCTGTCCTTTTATCACTGAAGGACCCCTTTTCTGTTGGATATATTCCTCAGGAGAGAAATCCACTAGTTTTGCAAATGTTGTACATACCTGGAGTCAGCTTAAACCAGGCTCTATATAAACTAAATTCAAGCCTTTGTCTTGTCATTTTTGCCTATGCAAAGTAGGAGTATGTGAGTGGGGACTATGGCTCTCACTTTGCAAGACTGAAAACAGGACATAGGGGTGATCTGTCCCTCCTGTGGGTTATGCAGCTGGTGTTTTGATTTGTGTAGCTATCATGGCTGGGGGGAGGGAGGGGACACAACACACTCTATAGATGCTTGCTTGCCATGCGTGGTGACTTCCGTCTGCCAGCATTCATCCGTCTCACACACTTGATCTCCAGGAAATCCCTAGAGAACAAGTCACTTGGCTATATTTTGAAGTGAATGCTGGAACACACCAGGAAAGCAATTTTTAATCTCTGATTGCAATCAGCATTAGACTGGACACCTGTTTTCAACAGTTATATTACTTCAGCCCCAGAACAGAAATGTCATGTGACCCAGGCATCTCCTCAAACCATTTCTTGTTTCAAAGGCTGCTCACAAACTAGCTACAGGTGAAGGATCTTGGAGAATCATTTCAGATGAGGAATAAATTAGCCACTGTCATGGGGTGGCCTGCAGAAGACAACACCTCCTACCCAGTCACTAATCATCAGGCATCTACTAAGTGATGGGCCTGTTTTCTTTTCTTAGAATTGGGAAGACCATGGCAGCACAAACACACAAGGTTTTCTACTCCTATGCTGAAGAAGACAGCTTTCCAGGCCACACATTTAACAGATTATCAGCAAGGCATAAATAGGATAGAACATAACCTTCACAAGTACGGAGGTGAACAGCAGATTTGCACTTCTGCATTGCTGCTGCCAATGCTACACCTGCGTGCAGGAGATACCAGGGCAGGGGACGGGGCCTGGTTTACCAGTTTGATTTATGTTGGCTTCTTTACTGAGGAATGAAACCCAAGGAACTAGAGTTCTGCAGGTCTTGGTGGCTTTAGTAGTGACATGGCTGGTGCATTTCCCCACTTGCTTATGTGTGGGTACTTACCTGGTCTCAAAACTGTATCACTGGAGAGCTTGGGATGTCTCTCAAGTACCAAAGCACCTCAAACAGCTTTGTTAAAGTATTGTCTGTGCTTTCCCTTCTTAAGCACTGGGATCTCCTTTCTGCGACACATCTGATCTTCCAGTTAGCAGCTGTGCCAGCCAGTGTCTGCTTTTGTGCTTTCCACTTACCTTGGCCAAAAGAGCTCCTAGCATTCCTCCTGATAGCTGACACAGCCAGTATGGGAGAAGGAGAAGTGGGGAAAGGCCTCCTGCAGCCAGAGCGGCCAGGGTAACAGCTGGGTTGAAATGGCCACCACTGCAAAAGGAAAGGGGTCAATTGTGCCCACAGCAGCCACAAGGAAGGACACTGAGTGACGGACACCTCCAGTAGGTTAGGCTGCAGTGCCCTGAGCATGCAGAGCCTACGCATGGAGGTCTATGCCACTATCAACATCCTGGTGATAGAAAACACGCCCCTGACAGATACTTTGTGCCAGATTCTCAGACTAATTCATTCTGGATTTATGAGTAAATCCCTTCCCTTCCTTTCCCCTCTGAGAGCTTTTATCTCTTGGTCTCATGAGTTGAATTGTGCTGGTTTGCAATCTATTATGTGTGAGGGGTACATCTAACCGTGAGTGACAAATTATAGTGAAGAGCTCCTAGTGGTAGCATTTGAAGCACTGATTTGTAATCTCCACTGAGGCTGCAGAGAATTGTCCTCCTAAGAGACTCGTATATATCTCGCAGGCTGATGAAACCAGGATGCCGACTGAAACAGGACCTAGTCTCAGAGTAATTCCTAAAAAAACACCAGCATCTTCCAGTTCTCCACAACCTACCCAAGCTCCAGCCCTTGACTTAGTCAGGGCCAAGAGCACCTTCATGATTCCTGTTTAAGCTCCCTTCACCTAAAACTAGGAAGGCCTCCTGCTTTCTCTGGGATCAAAAGGTGGCTAACTATAATTTTTTGACTAACATTTCTAGGATTTAACGTGGAGTTATGCATCTTTCTGGGTGCGATAGGTTCACAATAGTGCACCACCTCCTTGTGGAGCAGTGAGCAGGTGCTAAGTGGACTCAGATGTTGGAGTGCAATCCTCTTTCTACACTAATTAAGAGCCTGAAAAGACATGAGTGCAGAAGGTGAGTGGGTCTTCCTCCTGCTTGTTGATTATTGTGATCTGGTGTTCAGGCTGAGATGAAGACACATTACAAAAGTAGGTGCATTAACTGTTTTTTGCAGGCTGGACTATGATTGCATGAAGGCCCCCTGAGTTTACATAGGTGCTTCATAAGTGGAATAAGATCTGGTTCTAAGTCACTGCAGGATCAGAGTCTAATAGAGTGCAGACTGTTAGGTAGTGGTTCAGGGTTGATTACATAGCCTGATTTGACTTGATTATAGACCATGCCTATGTACCCATCCTACCTGCAGAAGAGGAGACAACTGCCCCATACCTTATTTTCCCCAAAACTGCTACCATGATCCCCAGCGAAAATCCATGAGCAAGAGCAGGCCCCATGGGCCCTGCCCCCTCAGGGTTGGTGATCACAGAAAGACACGCGGCTGCCACAAACAAGGTGCTGCCCATCAGCTCAGCCAGGCAGGGCTGGGCGTACTTCTCAAAGATGGTCCGATCCTCTGGCTCTTTCCCAGGCTCTGCTTGGGCAAGGATGGAGGTTGCTCCGACATTCTCCATTTCTGTCTCCAAAGAATATTTTTTGGTGAGAAGAACCATCCTTGGGAGGTCTGGCACCTGAGATGAAGCCTACTGGGGGAGAAGGGAAAAAAAAGTTATTTCACCACTCTGACCAGCAGCATAGAGGACCCTACATCGGGAATGAGCCCATCCATTGTAATCTATGTGTTTTTCCTGTTCTCCCCAGAGGGCCTTAGGAGGGGCCGTGCCTCCCTTCTGCCCACAGCAGCAGAAAGGAAATGAAACAAAGACTGAAACAAAATGTGCTGAAGTGCTGAGCTTTCCTTTCCAATCACCTGTAACATGGAGTGATTTCTAGAAACACAGAACTGACTCATTGGGCACTTTTATACATGCTCTGGGCAGTGTAGGAAGGGGAGGGGGATGCTTTTATTACCAAGCCATGCTAATTAAAAATGCCCAAGCAGCATCTATATCAGAGTCCCCAAGCTGAAAAATGGCAGCGGGGCACTTTGAACTAAAGCTCATCAAATGATTATTTGAGACCGCTCTAACATACTAGATTCCCAGTACATCGGAGCAGGCTCCCTGCACGTGTATAGGAGCCCATCAAGTCCAGTCTCCACCTTTCACAGGCATCCACGCCAAAGAGTTTCCTTTATTAAACTGATCAAGCTCCATCCCAAAAGTAGTTAATTTTTGTGCTTGCCACTACTGTGATTAGGAATCTGTTCCAGAACCTCACAAAAAACATCTTCTAAATTGCAACTGAATTTACTCCTGGCTGGTTTGTTCCTGTTTAGTTTGGTTCTGAAGGTTAAATAGATCTTTCATCTGTTCTGCCATAACGAGGTCTCAGCTGGGATTGCAGTACATAACAAAGAAACATAGGGGCCTGATTTTTTTGTTGCAGTAAGCCCCAGCTAAGCTGTTTGGCAGCAGAAAAGAGCCTTACTGCCATGGAGACAGACTCCTGAGTTCTCCACACAAGGGCTTTAGGGCTCTGTGCTAGTTTTGCTCTCAGTCATTGGTGTCAGAGGCAGATAAGGGTGGCTGCAGAGCATTGTGGTTGTCCTCTGTTTTTAGAGGCCCCTGGCAAATAGAGGGTGAGGTCTTGTCTACAAGCAAAAGCTGCATCAAAATAACCTAAACCAGTTTAAACCAATGACATAAGGGGCTAGACAGGCTTCCTGTTGTTTCATCATACAGAGGGCAAAGGTAGCTTCAAATCAACTTTAGCTTTACTCCGTTTCCTTCCCCAAGTGCAGCAAGGATGTAGTCAAATACAGCACCCACTAG